GTGAGACCGGGATAAGGAGAACATTTAGAAGGGACCTCAGCAACAGTCGCCGGCAAACGGACAGAGTCATAAGATTTCAGTTGAGCAAACAGTCTCACAGGCATCACAGCACAAGGTCTGTTCAATTAACATGACGACCAGCATCGATACATTAGCTGAACAATGGCGTTTTGTGAGCGGTAGGGAATATGGCGTGTGGGGCACGCGTAGACGGACTGTTTAGTTTTTTCAGTCGCTGCGTCCGAGCCAGCCTCTAACTCTATTGACAATGGAGCAAAGTGGGTGGGGTAAAAGAGCGAGTGCGTTAGATGTTGCGCAAGTCTGCCCCATTATAAAATAAAACTGAGATTGAGTTGACTCAATTGCGAAAAAAAATCGAGGCGCTCGGCGGGGTTTGAACTCGCATAGTAGAGAAGGCCTTTAACGTAAGCCAACGCTCTAACCACTTGAGCTACAAACGCCCGCATGCGCAAGTCAGCGGTACTGCGTACACTCCGTGGGACGCGTGTCATGCCTTGATCTGGCCCCTGTGTTGGTTCAGCGCACTTACCACCTGGCCAAAACCAGGAACATCTACTCAAACAGGGCCAATGCATATGCGACATCCCGCGGGATAAAAATTAGAGTCTGTGTTAGTCTTTAATGGCGAAAACTGGGCCTCCAGTCACCTCCAGTTTTAGTAGACAATCATTAATTCCAAACAGAAGTAACTGAGAGAGAGAGATAATGCGACTTACAGACTTTTGTTTGGACTCCGCTTCACTAGCACTGAGAGCCAAAGCCAACTGAAGTTCTTCTTCCTCACGTAACTGCAGCTCTCTGTCCCGAGCCGCCTTCTCCGCTTCCGCTTTGGCCTGAAAGAAAACAAGATATACACTTCTGCTGCTCAACAAGTGGAAAAAGTAGCACATTGCAATGACAAGCACATCCCCACGAAGCTCCATAAAGTCATCCAGATTAGTTTTCCTTGGACTCAAAAAGTACATGGGCAAGCCACTTTTCATTCTGGAGGTGGTTGAGTTCACGAAGCTTACGCCTTGTGGAGCAGTGGACGGAAACGTTTAACTTGATGACCGGGCCATATTGCGCAGATCAGTGGGGACTAACGGTGCACAACGGAGGCTTCTGATTTCCAAAAATACATGTCCTCAACTATTCAAAACGATTTTTCTGCACAAGAGCAAGAAGACTTTGCAGCAGCGTCAGTTAGGCCTGGATGTCTTCCCTAGTCCTCTTTAAGCACGCAAGAAATAGTGTTCGGACCCTCTACAACCGTGGTGTCCAGCCTAATTATACCGACAGCAGTATACTACTGTACCAAGGAAACGTAATGCCTGTTTTATCTCCTCCTGTCACATAATCCTACAAATTTTGCATTTAACGTCAAACTGCAAAAAACTTACTGGGCCCATTACACCACTACTTTGAGAAGATGCATGTTCATGGGGGCCATGGGTGTGGCCCGTCTTACTTCCTGCATGCTACAATTTCCCAAAGAAAGAAAGCAGAAATTTATTACATAGAAGAAGGATTAGGCTTAATTTCCCAAGAACTTCGGCCCATTGCGATGTGCGACGACCTCCTCGGACTACATGACGAAAATGGGCACCGCCCCTAGTTTCAGAACCGGGAGGTGGGCAAGCCTAGCCAGCAGCCGCCCTGAAGATTAGTAATAATTAATTAGATTTACCAGGAGGGGCAGCAACAGCGAAATGGCAATCTTGGCTTCTCAATCTGGGATACCTCAATTCCAGGGATGAACCCAAGTCAGGTGAACACTGAACAAAGTTCCTTCTCCCATAGTAGGGACTGAAATCAAGACGGTGCGACTGCATTGATATGACCTGACTGTGGACAAAAGGGCATTGCTTTTTGCTCTGGGGAATCACTAGTAGAGGACAACAAATAAGTTGTTGGAAATGTCAATTTTACTACCGCCGTCTATGTCGGTTAAACGTTCCCAGCACACAAGTCAACTTGGGTTTCGAAACTTAAGACACACGACAAGAGCCGACGGAGGCTGGAGCGCTTAATTATTGTTTTTAAGAGGTCTGACAGCTAAAAACACACATGTGTAGATAACCAGGCAAATTTGATTCTCTGGAATATGGAGGAAATTTCACATGACAGCACGGCCATGAAGACTATAATTTAATTATTGACTATGAAAATAAGATCGACGATTTCAAGCAAAAAGCGTAGACTGTGTTTCGGTTTCCTTAAATCTTAGGCCCACCTTTTGACAAAAAGGTAAATTGCTAATACAAGCGAACATGCGAGTCCCAGGAAGTAATTGAGAAGTAGAGGACGACTCGATCGCTGGGACAATATGTCTCAGCGATCGAGTCGTCTTCTACTTTTATTTCTCAAAAAGGTAAATATACCGACTGACTTAAAGCCACAGTAATTTAAGTGACATACAAATCAACACATATATTCTAAGATTTCCTCACAAACAAAAGTCGGTTTTCGGATCAGACAACTGCCTCCTAACGGCATGAATACAGAGGTAAGGCTGTGTCTTGTAGGACTGGCTACTTTTTCGGATATTTATAGCCCAACAGTCGTAATTATGATGTGAACACAAGGCACCTCTCAATAGCATAAGTCGCAGCCCAAACGGAAATTTAAATCAAAGTCGCATAGAACAAGGTTTTCAATAACTATAAAGAGGAGTATGAAATGATGAGAACTTACCGTGGCGGAAGAGTATGACGTGCCGCCCTCTGGTCTTGAAGCAGTTGGAGCCTCTCTATGGCCCCTATAAAAATAACGAGTAAATGCACAACCTTATTACAAAACAATTGGAATATCAGTGGCGGGGCACGAAAAGAAGCAGGAATTGCAAAGACCAGGTGGCAGGGAAAAATGCAGGAGATAAAATGCGGCCGAAAGGAAGACTAATGAACGCCAAGCGACTGTTGGACAAACATAGCGATGACATTTCCGTGGGTCGTCCCGCTAAATATTTCCACGTTCTATGAAAATACCCAAAGTTTGTCTTAATATGTTCGCTTTACAGTGAAATAAATGCATTCAAAAAGTTCCACAACCACACTGTATCCTTCTGATACCCTGCAGTTACTATCTGGTTCAACCATTCCGAATTTATTCCGTCAGAATATCGTAGGCCGAACTTCCTAAATAATCTTGAAAATTTAATACCCGAATCCCAGCTCCGTAGATGGCAGCTTGATGCTGCATGCACCTGACAGTGTTTATCTACCTTAGAATGGTAGGGTTTCAATTAACTTATAACTGTGACATAAAACTACGTGAACAGAGTTAAGGGCGGACGCGGTCAACTGGTCTGAGTGTTAAAAGTCCCTACGTCGACATATTACTGACCAGCATATGAATCAGGTAATCGATTAACAAAACATTAGAAGCACTGTTGATTTAATCTACAACAGAGGAAGTGGCGTTCAAATAAGTATATTTTATTCGTCCCTTTAGTGCCAAAAC